AAAAATATAGGTGAAACTTACTGACGAATGACCAACTCTGATGAAGGATTTTAAAACAACTGAAACGTCAGTAAGTTATTTCACCTACTTTTTATGGTGTTAAATTTATCTTTTTACACAACTGTTCAAATGGAACCATGGACTAAAATAATAAATTCACTAATAATTAGTACATATATGTAACAGATTTTATAGTGGTTTAATGATAAAATAATTACAATAAAAATAATTGCAGTTCTTGTTTCATGCTTGAAGACTGTCATTTACAAAAAATGGAGTGTAAACCAAGTCACCTGGAATGCACTCTACCCATTCTCAGACCCAGATCCTTCTCTGTTTCCCAACAGAAAATAAAAAGCCTCTGGTTTGAGACAAATGATACTTTTATTTGATTGGTTCTAAAATTCCTATGCGTTATCACTATGGATACATGTATATCGTACCACCCTTATTTTGGGTCTTATGGTATGATCTACAACCAGTGCCTTAAATTCTCCATTGGTAAACTAAGAAAGATCTGGGTATGTGAATAGAATTTTTACCCAATCTACATCTACTACGAGTCTTCACATAAAAGTGTGAAATAGTTGAACTTTTGAAAGAGATGAACAAAGAGATGATGGTATTTGTTCTAATTCAAGTGGAACTGACTTCAAATTAATATCATAATAAGTTCTCACTCACTTCACAGTCCAATGAAAGCATGAAAAAATTTGTAAATTATTAAAAGATGTAATTTTTGACTACAAATGTTTTTTCTTTTAGTACTGTTTAGTTCTGTTTCCCAATTTGGTGCTTGCATGCTATCATATGGTAGTAGAGTGAAGTAAAGAAAAAAAAAAGAAGTGAAACACTTATAATACACTAATACACCTTGGGATGCACTAACTGCATTGTTTTCTTTGGTTTCCCTTTGACTATTACTCTTTAATGGTTAAATTTTATTTCACTAGAATGAAGTCTTTAAACCAGTGAAACAAACTTTGTGATAGTCAAATATACACAAAAGAAAACTGCAATTAGAGCGTACTAAGGTGTAATAATGTAATATCTATTTCACGTTGTTTGACTTCACTCTTTGAAAATAGTCTCCTTCATGGTTCCCTGCGCCACCTTGAAAAGTATCTGAGCTTTGCATCAAAGCGAGACAACCGTTGAGAGTGCAATGAGAGATACCTGTGAATAATTGTCTGTAGGTATTAAAGGTTTCTATCATTGCACGCTCAACGGTCATCTTGCTTCAATGCAAAGGCACAGCTACCTTTCAAAATGGTGCAAGGAACGGTGAAGGAGACTATAGCAAAGAAAGTAGTTTTCATAATTCAATACCTATTATACATTCTTCATTCCTGTTATCATTTATAAAGTCATAATAATATTATATTAACAAGCACTTTCAAGACAAAAATTAAAAAAACTCCTAAATTTACAAATTATTTGGACTTCAGATCCTCGACTATTTGAAACAGTTCGTCAGCATTGTCGGCAGTTTTCACCCTAATTAGATATGTAGCAGGCTTGGTATTATCCCCCTCGGAAGGTTTCGAGTAGAGAGGAGGATTCGGCAAAGACACCAACATAACGTTATTCTTTCCTGTCCTATTAACTGGAGTTGTCGAYGTAAGGAAGACATTTAGGAGTATGTTACCAGTTGCTGTRTCTGCACGYACAAAAAGCTGCGATTTGCCATCGATGTCTTTGATATTGAGCATGCCGACACCAAGTTCGGACCAGGCATTATTGCGGTTGAAGAACAGCTTACATCTGACTGAGAATTTAGAGCCTTCCTCRGCRGTKACAACACTGTAATGGCAATAGTGGTGGGAAGAATCAGTATTAGTATTAGTATTATTAGTTTTATAAAGAAATTATGATGAAAATGGATATAGGTTTTAATATTCGAAATAGCATAGTGCATTGCATTGTGCTCTGGATTGGGTACAAACATCTTTTGTTTTTGTAACAACTACCACTGCATCCAGGCCTTCATATGCACTTTCAGCTAAATCCTAAATGGTGGGAACTAGTGTGAGCTGTGTCGGTGTTTCTAAAGAAACAGTTGTGTAAAAAGATAAATTTAACACCGTAAAAAAGTATGTGAAATAACTTACTGACGTTTCGGACGTTAATCCTTCATCGGAGTAAAGGATTAACGAAGGATTAACRTCCAAAACGTCAGTAAGTTATTTCACATACTTTTTTACGGTGTTAAATTTATCTTTTTACACGACTAAATCCTAAATGGCTAATATTTAAAAATTCAAGTATACTAACCTTTTAGGTTTAGGTGGTTCGTCAGAGGGTTCAGCTTCTTCAGTTGTTTCCTTTGGTTTTTCAGCTGGAGCTGGAGCTGCCAAACCTATAATATTGTCATAATACTGGATTGTAGGTCAATCAGTTTATCAGTCATTTTTCCGTCAAAACGGTACAGTTCGGACAACAAAATAACAGTTAGTCAAACACTTTTTTGTCCAAGTACATAAGTTAACTTAAACAACTACTTTTTCGTCTAAGTCGAACTGTTAGCTAGGCACTTTGYYRTCTAAATTGACCAAAAACCAGACACCTTTCTGTCTAAGTCAGACAGTTGGTCAGACAAGTCATGTTATTAAGTCAGTTAGGTAGACACTTAGGAAACCAGACAATGTCGTCATCTTAGTCAAAGAGTCAACTTTGACGTCTAAGTCATTCAGGCGGCCATGACAATTTAATACAATAGTGAATTTGTAGCACACCAAATTTGAAGATAAACTATAATATTCATAAAAAGTGCCATTGTCCACTAGCATCCCTTTTTTGATCTTTTGTTTATGTTTGAAAATAAAAATACATTGAAATATAAGTCAAAACTTTCCCATTTTTTTTTCTATTTATCCTCTAGAAATGTAGATATGGGAATATTTGACTTTAGAGCTGAGTTATGGACTAAATATTTAGAGTCACCTCATTTTCCCCATACAGTATGAAAAATCTAAACCATGAATGCATTGGATGCTGGTTGAATATGCCCCTTTCGACTTGGTCGAGTTTGAATAGACAAATTTATGATAAAAAAATTAAAAGCATACCAATAAATGGCTTTTCTTCGTTTACAACTGGCTTTTCTTCAGTTTCAATCATCTTAAAGTCCAAACTCTTGCTCCCAACTGGTTCATTTTTACTGAGCGACGATGGAGGTGTAACAGACGGCAATGGCTTGATGTCAGGTGACTCCTTGATAGGTGTGGCCTTCTTCTCGATATTAGATAAGTGCTTGCTATAGTCCTTAAACACTGGTGTTAGATCAACATATGGATTTTCATTGACATGTTTTTGTAACCAAGATAATACGCTTATATTTAAGGATTTAATGTTTTCTAGGTAGGAGTCGCTATGGTTTTCCTTTTCAGACGTATCATTCTGTTTTATTCCATTATTTCCATTCACTTTCGCCCATGGTTTCTCCTGCGTTGACCATATGTCTTTGCTTGTAGTACTTGATAAACCAGCAAAACCTGAAAAGCCAGCTAAACTGGTTTTTGTAGCTGGTTTGAGCTCTGCAGGAGCTGATGAATTACTGGTTGATGAAGCTGTTGAAGATGTGCTTTTTAAACCAGAAAATCCAGAAAAACCAGTGAAATTCTTGAACACTCCTCCAGACTAAAATGGTAGTTTGAAAAATTTAAGAAAATTAGGTTTAAACTATGAAAAAATAATTCAATATCAATGATAGTATAATTATTATCTATTATTATTTATATGCTAAAATACCTTATTGGCGTCAGAGGGCAGTCGGCGTCTAGCTTTAATTATTCTAATAGTATAAAATGTGTTGTAAGTACACATCATATAGTTAAGATTCGTAGTGAAGCATAAATGGAATGTTGGTTATGTATCTTGAAACTAAGCCCCGGTTCATAGATCAAATCTGATAACATGCAATTTACATTCATTATTATTCTCGGAAGATTTTTGTGTGTGCTAAGTTCGGCATGGTTTGCATGGATGCCAACCCCTGAACTTTTCAAATCTTGAGAACGAAAATGATGACGTCATACYSGAAATGACGTTTCATAACATTATCGATGACGTCATCGCATTTATCAAATTTCGTTATAACTAGTGATTTGATTGGATGTATCTTAACCAATCATATTATAGATTGAATTGTGCAATTGAAAATGGCCACGGATGGCGTGCAGTGTTATTGTTATCAGAAGACTGGGATTTTTGTATTTTTTTCAGAACTAAAATGATATGCAAGGTAATTTGGGTTTTAATAGATGAAAAGAGATATTTCAAAAAACTGATATATGAATCGTCATTATCCGGGAGATTTAGCGGTAAAATCTTGAGAMCDDRRGAAAYGRTHGAAAATCTTGAGACTCCCGGATTATCCGGGAGAGTTGGCATCCCTGGGTTTCAATTGGGTGGAAATGTTTATAGCAACGCTATAGCAATGCTGGTTGAAAAAAGCCCTTAAAAGTATGTACATATCAAGACATCTAATTATGGAACTGGACTGGCATAAATGCAGATTTGTGACATCTTATCCAGCTCAAATTCAAAGTATTTATGACAATTACTTTCTTTTGTTCATGTCCTCTTCGCTTGCAGTAGTAAATGTACCAGCCTAATAATGAAAAACGAAAATATGGCATTACAACCACCAAAATGGCCAGATGTCTTGCAAAAAAGTTTGCATGGGAAGTTCTCCATTGAAGGAATGGTGAAGGTSCTTTAATTCTTTATGTCGTCCTACCACTTCTTACAATGAGTATTATGGTATAGATWATTACAGCATCTCAAGACAAGATAAGTACGTACATTGTACGTACTAGCAAGTTAAATTTWATTTTTTTTCGCGGTGGTTTGAATTTGGCGCGCACTTCATAGAATATGTTCAAAACCAAAATTCAGACTAAAAGCTGTTTATATTCTAAATAATTCGGAAAGATGAACATTGAAAACCCTACTTACACGATGAAAATGTAACCTTCTGAATAAAATACCACTTTCAAAGTTCAAAATAATTTAATAATTTTCACGAGACTACTCGAGGAGCCAGACACGGAAATTTTCCGATTCGAATTTGTAACATAGAAAAAACATTTTCACAATTTAAACTAGCGATTGTGGAAAAACATCATTTAAAGTTTGATATTCTACAAAATGTAGTCTATTACCTCTTCGGTATCTTCTTCATCGTCCCAATTATCGCGATTCAAGTCTGATTGAGCTCCACGTTTCGCCATCTTGGATCCTAAGTACCTATCCATGCATGCAACGCGCGCGCGAATTTCAGTCGAAATTTTTTGTAGACGTGGGAAGGGAGGGTCAGTAAGAATATACAACAAGGTAATCATTCTTCATGGATTGCTACAGTTAGCCGCGAATAATGCCCTAAAAGGGGCACTGCGTTATGGCTCAGTAAGACAATTCTGTGAGAATAAACAATTTGTCTAAATGAAATACAAACTATGCAATACTGGTTCATTAGCTTTCTGTGGGCTTCCTGTGTTGAATATTTGATATCAGTCAATCCCCTCTGGCAACCATAATTTTTAGCACTTATACAGGGGCATAACCATCATTCTGTTTTTTGATGCAAGAAAATTTAAATAAAAACGTCAATCCCTTTCCTTCCATGCATGAAATGCCCCTCCCACAACACTGGCAGCCCGATTCCTCTCAGAGTCTAAAATGGTGAGGGCTTGGGACAGAAACTAAGGGTCTGATACTCAGGCTCTCAGGGATGCCAACTCTCCCGGATAATCCGGGAGTCTCAAGATTTTCGACCGTTTCTCCCGGTCTCAAGATTTTACCGCTAAATCTCCCGGATAATGACGATTCACATATCAGTTTTTTGAAATATCTCTTTTCATCTATTAAAACTCAAATTACCTTGCATATCATTTTAGTTCTGAAAAATTACAAAAATCCCAGTCTTCTGATAACAATAACACTGCACGCCATCCGTGGCCATTTTCAATTGCACAATACAATCTATAATATGATTGGTTAAGATAAATCCAGTCAAATCACTAGTTAATAACGAAATTTGATAAATGCGATGACGTCATCGATAATGTTATGAAACGTCATTTCCGGTATGACGTCATCATTTTCGTTCTCAAGATTTGAAAAGTTCGGGGGTTGGCATCCCTGGGCTCTGTCCCAGGGGGAGTATGCACTCCCACCCCTTCTTGTGTGAAGGTGTACACCTTGGGACCCTGCCCCAGAGTAATATCGCTGAAAATCTTAACCTGGCTGTTACAAAGTAAAATCACTGAAGACCATACCCTGCGCGCTTGGCTGCATGTACTCATATAGTGAATATATAGAGACTTTGGCAGACAGAAAGCAGACAAAAATGTATATCATTTATTGACACAAGTGCCACTTTCATTATATTTTCATAATATATATCCAACAGCTATGTTCAATGTATATTAATGTAAATACTGATTTTGCTAGGCATCACCCATCCTGTCCCTCAAGCACAATTTAATTAAGTCATCTAGATTGCAGAACATATTCCAATGAGAAACTAGTGAACAATCTATGCCATGCTGAGTCCCATAATTCTTTGCAAAGCATGAAACAAGGAATGTTTGATCAAAAAAGATGTGCTCAATGGAAAAATGTTTCACAATAGTGGTCAGTGCTGTTCAGTGATCCAACATTCCTTGTTTGTAGAGGATATAAAATATTAATATACCAAAATCAAAATACTGACTTTGACACTGAATTGCCATTTGAACGTAAAGCTGTTATTGTATCCTATATATCATTTTGGTATTTTAAGGATTAAAGATATTATTATTATTATTATTAAATCAATCAGAATATCTTTTATATATTTCAAAATTCTTAAATTTCCAGTATACAATGTTATAGCTTTCTCATACATTATCATTTTTTGAACATCACATCATTTGTTTTCAATTCAAAGGCAACAAACTGGTTTTTGTGAAGACTGATTTTCACATGAGCGAAGAGTGATATATACTTTTTTACAAAAAGAATCAATTTCAAGTACAGYGTTGCAGCATGGGATACCACAGGAAGACCACCAGGGCCCGTTAATAATAAATACTTTGGAGGAATAGAGACTGAGAAAGTTGTCATAAACTCTGAACAAGTTCAATGAATTGGATTAGTTTATCTACAGAGTTCTTGGCCATTCTGTTGGACGTGGACAGCTCACTCTTTGTCTGCACTTGCTCCTAAAGAAAAAAAAAAAAAAAATGCAATTAAAGTTATTTATCATTTGATATAGTCCTTTTCTGAGATTGCAGTTTGCATTGCATAGTTATCTTAAGCAAGTATAGTATATTATAAAATTTTTGATATATAATATCAAAGAGGCAAGATTTTGCTGTAACTCCGAGTTTCGTGCTACGCACTCATCAGACAGTATTTAAGATTTTGCTGTAACTCCGAGTTTCGTGCTACGCACTCATCAGACAGTATTTAATCTTGCCTCTTTGATATTATATATATAACTACCTCTACACTTTATGTGTATTGAGCATTCTTTAATGGGATCAGCTACTTCCTCACACAATTAAAATTTTTGATATATAACGCACGCTCTGATTGGCTGACGACACTCTAGAAGCAAGAGAAGCAAGAGAAACACTCGCTATGCTCGTGTTCCTAAGCTTGCTACTCTCGTGTTTTTCAACTCCCACCGTGTTTATATCAGAGGACAGAGACATGCGCGCCGTTTTATATTTCTTAAATAATAAACAATATATAGTTTCTAACCATTATTGACTGGCTGAGGCGTTTTGCTTTGGCTTCCAACTCCATCTTTTCAGCTTGTAACTCTTGACTTCTTTTTATAAGGTAATTCTTTTCATCTTCCTTTGCTGAAAAACAACAGGTGAAATTGTCAAAATAAATCACCACTTGACTAACAGACAGACAGACAGATTAACATCAGGGTTCGTGCTACATTTTCACTACAAAATTCCAGGACTTTTTACAGTAAGCATAAATTTAAATACAATTGTCAAGGGCTATTTTTGAAGATATCTTTCAATGTTTGCTGATACTTTCAGGCCTGATTTTTCAAAAATAGCCACATTCAATCCAAAAGCTAAAAAGCGACATTCAAAATGCAATGAGGTTTCAAGGAGTTTTCCAGGAGTTTTAGCGATTTTTCCCATTTTCAAGGGCTTTTCAAGCACCCTTGAAAACCGTTTTCAATTCCAGGACTTTTCAATGATTTCAAGGAGTAGCACGAACCCTGTAACATGGTGCCTGACAGTCTCWGCAACTGCTTTGAAAATGAACAGAAGAAAGATTTATGCACATTTGAATGAATGAACTTTGAATGGAATTGGATGAATGTAAAATAAATGAATGAAGTAACAGAATGAATGACTGCCAAACCTGTTTTAGAAACAAGACTAACCTGTTTTGTGGGCCATGTAGGAGCGTACAACTGACAGCATTCCTGGCCAAGGCATGGTCTCACAATCAGAAGCTGCATCCTGTGGAAGATTTAAAAGTTAGAGTCTGCAATCATTTAACTGCAGTGGTTATACAATGTAACACGGATGGCCAAAGAAACAACCGAAAACAAGGGGAGAAAGAATTTAAGGAAAAAAACAGTGAGGAGAAGAAAAGAGATTAAGCAATAATAACAAAGAATGGGTAGAAGAAGAAGAAGAAGAAGAAGAAGAAGAAGAAGAAGAAGAAGAAGAAGAATCTACAAAAAGGGAAAAAAATGATATCACAATCCAGCATACCTTGCATTTAGGACATATCCACATCCCTGATGGTATAGATGCGAGTGGTGGATCAAGGCAGTTCAAATGATACACTAGATTACATGTATCACACATCAATAGTTCACCACTTGTCTTACATACAGCACACTCACTCTCATGCTCATCATCCTGTAATCAATATAAACAATGATGTCAATAATAGACGTGCCTTTTGAGGGGAACCATGGAGCATTGGGGACTGGGGACTGTAGCCCCCTCCCCTCCTCTCCCCCCAATTTTTTTTACATTTTTTTTGCTTGACCTTAGAAAATGTGAAAAAGTTATAAGCTATACTATCACTTTTGTGAGAATGGAAAATCAATGGTTTTTTATCCCTATATTATCTACTACCTTTTGACAGTGTCAAAAGAAACATTTTCATAGATATATTGCATAAAATTACTTCATACCTTTTAGCAGTGTCAAGTAATATTTTCATGGATTCACTTCATAAAAAATGCTGGAATGAATCGCACTTCAGAGGCTCAAAATTTCAAAAAAATTCTTCAAACCCTACTTGATCCAACTTTAATTGTTTGTTGCTCACCAACAATCCCCCCTCCCTCCCCCATGCAAAAATATACTCCATGGTTCCTGTCTGATTGTTCAGCTTCATATTCATATTCATACTTGTTGACCAAGTATTTTTAAAATAGGTAAGTGATGGAGTTTCGCGGTGCAGTGTTTCTCACCTCATCAGCTGGAGATTCCTCTGTTATAAAGCGYCTGTACCTCATCTTTCTAGTTCCAACTGCATCACCCAATCCATTGGGTATGGGGGAGGTTGTTTTAGGTGAACATGGGGCACTTGATGTATGGTACTTGGGAGGTCGACCTTTGATTAAAAAAAAACAAACATGTCAACTCTAAATATATATTTTTTTATATCAACCAACTTGGTGCTTCCCTTGGGTTGCCTGTGGCCTATCTATCAAAGCAAAAAAGGGTGAAATGAACAGTGCAAAAGCAAAAAAAAAAAAAAAAACAAACAAACCAAAAACAAACCAAACAAAAAAACAAAATAAACAAACAAACAAAAAATAATAATTCAAGTGCTTTCAATAAATTTCTGTCTCTTTGCCTTTATACTTTAGTCAAAAAAGTAAAATTCAGAAAGTATGTGTAGTGCTAAATAATATAATTATATAATACTCTTCATGCAGTAATGGAATTATAGTATGGTCTGGGAATAGTCAGTTCTGAGTGATGGAAAATGTCTATAAATGCTTTCTTGGGAAAAAGGAGGTGCAAACATTGACACAAAGTTCAGTGACACTTCCACTAAAACTACCTTCCTTTTTTACCTTTTATTTACATTTCTAATTGACCAACACATTCATATGTCAATTATGTTTAATTAGMGATAGACAGMTRTCAATCAAAACAATAGAAATRACTATATTTGATTGACAGCTGTCTCTAGTTTCTAATAAATCWATGTGACTTTAGTTTCAAATGGTCRGTTAACAATGTAAACAAATGTTCAACACTAAAAACTTTCTGATTCTACAATATTGTGATCTAGCTTACATTGTGTATAAAAACAAATGTAATAGAAAGTGAAAGAAAAGAAAATGGAAATGAAAAAAGTGAAAAATGCAAGAAAGAGTAGATRCAGTTGACCTAGTGTTATTGATTGCAGATATTATTAACAAGTATTAAAGAATATTAGTTAAGAATTAGAAAGAAGGAGGTTACATACTTTTACCTCTTCCACGTTTGACTGGCAGAATTACCATTCTATTCATTTTCTTTGGCTAAAAATAGAAAATAAAGATATCAATTTAAGCCAGATATATATTATAWTTATTTATGTACACAATTTAATTATAATTTTAGCAGCCAAAGTAATATGGAATTTGCATGATGGTGTCACATACTACCAAGAACAGAATGCTTTGAATCACTTTCTTTTGTTGTGTAATTAGTTCCAGCTGTCCTACTAATCTCCAAAGGGATAAAAAATCTCAATAATAAAAAGTAATAATAATAATTAAAAAATATRCAGAGCATTCTGGTAGYGGTAGTGAAATGACTATAATTTAATTTTTATTGACATTCAGCGAGGCAGTAGAGCCACATTGACTAATCTAATATAATTAATAACAAACTTTTTTTTGACAAAGAATGTATACAAATKTAGCCAAGGCTGCTATGATGTTGAAAATGTATATCGTGAATCCGAGCTTTCGCTGTACTACAKCATCATCAGGGAATGACATYGGATTCACCATATACATTTTCAACATCATAGCAGCCTTGGCTACATTTGTATACATTCTTTTTCTGATCACAATCATGCTGCTAAAGGATACCTTCACTTTTTTTTGACAGTTTTTGTAATAATTTAACATTATAATAGTTTTGGAAAGTATTTTAGGCTTCAGGCATTAGGCTAAAAAATTACAACAAACATTATGTGAATACTCCATTTTACAGTTCCAAGTRCTATCTTGAAATTTTTACCAGTTTTTTGCAAATTTTTCTTTATTCTCTTTAAGTCCTCACACTTGGGCCATGCTCTTATCRTTTCATATTTATAATGCAGTTTTTTAAAACCACATTTTGTTTTATTCACTTCAAAGAATTATAGAGTGCACTTCAGATAATCTAATTAAAATATAAGCAATGAAGGAAAGAGACCAAAGATAAAAATAATTCTAGAAAACCAAAAATAAAACATGAAAAGATCGATGCAGAGTGAATAGACAAAAAAAGAAAAAAAATGAATAAAATACAAGAACCTAAAAGGAATCACAAAGAGCAGAGAATCAAGACCAGGGGTATAGAATGGTGTCTTAAAAATCACGAGGTTCGCTCAATATTTCCCAAGGGCTGAAAGCTCKGCGCTTAAAAGAAAGGGACTTGGAGTTGGCTTGAAAGCTCACGTAATTGCCGAAATACCAGATGCATTCAGACAAAGGCTCTGGCTTTGACTTTAAAACGAGGGGCTCCCAGTCTCAGCGAGAGTGAATTGCAGCACAGGCTAAGAACTACTGTGCTGTAACATACCTCTGGCTCCATCAATAACGAACTGTAAGGCGATATGCAGTGACTACGGCGTTTTCTTTCTTGTCTTTTTGCTTGAATTTCTGAACAAACAATAAAATATTGATTCAAATGATGAACATAATAAGGATACTTAGTATCAAATGAAGCCTTGCTGCTACGTATGTGTAAGATCTTATCAAATCTGTAAATCCAAGCTTTCGCTGTCWACAGCATCATCAGGGAACACAATCTTTAGTGCAACAAAAATAGAAATTAAGCCATACTAACCAATCATAGTTTGCGGAGTGATGAGACCAAGAGCAGCCATGAACTCTAGCTTCTGAAGGGCAATATTAAACAATAATTACAATAGGGATAATGCAATGGATGTTGAGTGTTGGGACTGCACCTATTTGCGAAAACGTTGTCATAAAAAATAGGAAATTTGTATTTAGCAAAAAGGAATAAATTAAATAGACAAAAGAAGATCACTGAGGCTGAACGCTTCCTTTTGTCTTGTTTTACTTTATTCCTTTTTACTAAATTCAAATGTTCTATTTTCTATGACAACGTTTCTGCAAGTAGGTGTATACATCTATATGACTAGCAGAGAGCAGGGCTCTACACCAGAATTGAGGTCGGCTTGGCATGGTATTTAAGATTACACATCAATGACACCTCAATAGTAATGATTAGGTCTTAATCTAAGGTGACAAGGGCCATACATTCGTGCATTTTGTTTAATAGTGTTTAGTAATCTCCTTCACGGTTCCCTGTGCCATCTTGAAAGGTAGCCGTGCCTTTGCATCGAAGCGAGACGACTGTTGAGCGTGCAATGATAGATACCTGTGAATAAATGTCCGTAGGTGTGAAAGAAGGTTTCTATCTTTATATTGCATGCTCAACGGTTGTCTCACTTCGATGCAAAGGCACAGCCACGCTACCAAGATGGCGCAGGGAACTGTTAAGAAGACTATTGATATATTATCATAATTATCAAGCACTATCATCATCATCATCATCATCATCATCATCATCAACATCATCATCATCATCATCACCATCATCATCATCATCATCATCATTGCTATTGTTATCATTGATCTCACCTTGGGTTCAATAGGTGCCATGTTTTCTTTCCTTGGCAGTTCATTTGGTATCAGGATGGGTGGCTTGGGTAGTAGTGGCGGTAAGGAACACCGTCCTGACTGTAAGGAGCTACTGGACCCTCCACTTTTAACTGGTATTGTATTGTTATTTTGTGTGATTTGCTTGTTGACGGTTGGTGATTTCACGTTGAATGGACTTGTGGGACTTTTACTGGACAATGGTACCGTACCACTCTAAAATTACATAATTATTAAGTAACACTTTTGAATTGCAACTTGCTCATTGTTCTCAGATACAGATAATATAATATGATTCAAAATTATCCCTTGAAAATGATAGTAATGTTGTACAACTCTAAAATGACATACTAGTAACACTTTTGAATTGCAACTTGTTCAATGCTCTCAACTTCAAATAAAATGCACTTCATATTTTTTTTTAGTTTACAACAGTTTTGAATTGCAACTTGTTAGTTGCTCTCAGAGTCAGATAATATGTTTCTAAATTATCCCTTGAATTTCAAACACATTTATTGAGAATTTGACTTTTGATCAACATTACCTGTGAAACTAYCACCACTGGTGTAGGACGTGGTTTTATATTCTGTAAGTTCTGAGTCCCAACTGAAAAACTCTTCATGACGACAGGCTTGGGCTCATAGGAGAATTCCATGGGTTCTTGTTTGACTGTGACTTTTGCAAGTTTGTCCATGTCCACATTCTTCTCCGACGTGGAGTTTATRTACTCCCTGTGAGGTATCGCCTGGGACTAATGYGAAACATAGGGACTGGTGAGAAATTTATACTGAGGGGRWGTGGGAGAGGCTACATGGTAAATAGTCTGATAGATATAAAACATTTAGCATGGGAGTGACTGCTTTTCATCGACAGTGCTCTCTAGTAAGCAATTCATAGAATGCAAATGTCACAAATTRAAGGAAATTTATTGGGTTTTCCAAATTAAAAAATATCAATAGTTGGTTTTTGGTTCATAGGTAAACCCTTTWAAAAAATAGTGATCTCTTTTTTTTTGCTGTGTTAGCCTCAAAACCATGTAATAAATTATTTTATTCACTATACTAACAGTCCCTGCAAATGCAAGAGATCCGTGAGGATAGAAGACAATGAAAATAGTTTGAAACTTAAGGAGTTTTCTCTAAATTTCTGAATATCTTACTCACAATTGAGGCTAACACAGCATAAAAGAGATCGTGAAACTCAACTATTGTTCACTGTTGTTCTTAATGTATTTTGTGATCTTTAGTTTGTATTTAGGTTTAGCACAAACCTTCAGCAGGTCTTGTCGCAAGTGATTGACAACCCTTTTCTGTAYGGATTAAAACAAAATAAAAAAATGAAAACTAGGATAACTAGGGAAGAAACTGGCATTTATAGTAACATGTTGCAACTACAGTTGTTATGCAACTTGAGGTAACACGTACTGCTAAATCTATTTATCTTGAGTAGCAAGAAATCAGACTAGTGCAATTTTGTGGGTGGGTGCTTATGAAATGGAAAACAGTGTTAAGAATGACACAGTTTTAAAATATTTAGTCCCCAAGATAGTCACGGTAAACTTTGTAGAGTTGTGTCTGACAAGAGTTTTTTTTGTGAAATAGAAATCAATTCTGAAATCTTACGGGAGATGATAACTTACGCAGTAATGGTTGTTCAAAGYCATTTTCGCTTATGCCATAGAAAACATCTAACTTATATCTGTTGCATGGATGCCGCCAATTCTGGTTTTTGATTGGCTGATTGAAGGTGTGATATATGATATTATTATACAATAAGTTTATTTACATGTACACGCAAAGAAATGTTTTGAATATTTWAAAAATTCTATGATTTCCACAATGAAAAAAAAAAACTTCTTAAACAAAGATTTAAAGAAAAAATCTTTTAACWGGTTTAAAAAATTATTCAGAATAATTAGACACACAAACAAAAAGAAAAATAAATTGAATTCATAAATTATTCAATTTTTCAAATTGACTCAAATAAATTAAGTGAGAGGATGCAATCATTTGGAGTCACCAGAACGGAAAAACATTCGACAAGAATTGTTTGCGCTCATTTAGACAWAAACAAAAAAAATATTTAAATTTCAAATTAGGAAGTCTCSGAAATAATTTTTACCTATTCCCCTCCAACATTTWTAGCTTTCCGGATTATTTCCRAAATTCTAAAACAGCTGTCGTTATTCAAAGGAAAAACTGAGAGCAGATAGAAGAAAATACGATAGAACCGAAAGACCTTTGAACTTTGAAGAACTGCTCAAGACGAAAATCGAACTTTATGCAAAGTTCTCGAAAGCTTTTCGAGAAAAAAAAATCGCCTCGGCTTGTGTTCAAAAAATTCATATCGGCTTATTGAGCATTTATTCCATTCAAACTTTCAACTCCCCGAGTAGCAAATCGAGATATTTGATTGGATCTTACACGTCGATAATGCGATGCAAAAATATTATATTCAGCCGCCCCTAAAATGCGAGTATTTCCTGAATACAGACTGGCTTAATAAAATCAATGTTTTTGCTTTCGTTCYCTTGCCTGTTGTTCGCTCAGACTTGTAATGTGACTTTGAAGTCCTTTTAGCCTCTTTTGAAGGTCTGGATTCTGTGGAAAAATTGAGTAAAAGATAAATACAGTTCTTGGAAGAAACTATAAAATTTTCGAGAAAGAATTATGAATTCTCATGAACATCGCAAAGGACTTTGAGAAGAAAACACGAATGTACCTGAGGATCGGATTTTATCTGTCTGACCAAAATCTGTGAAAATAAAAAACATTTTAAACAATTTGTAACCCCAGTAAGTCGTTCAAACAGTTAGGACTATTGGATCGAAACGGAAAAAGTATAAAAGAATAAATTCACAAGTGTGGTTTGAATAGATTAAATATGCAAGCCATCTACACTCCGGAATTGAATATCTTTGCCTAACTTAAATTCTTAAAACCAAAAAAACTTCGCTTAAAAACTATCTAAATGGCCCAAAACCCGCTCGAAAGACAAGCCCAGGCCATTTCCCATTGAAATTATCCATTCAAAGTCAGTAAAATTGAGATTTCTAAGAACAGTATTTGATAAATATGAGCACTTGCTCCAGAGCGGCGCTCACGGCCGTCAAGCAAAATGAACTTTAAAATACCTGGTGCTGTTGAATTTGAGACTTTAGCTGCGCTTGTAATTTTTCAAGCTCCATTTGGGCCGATATCTAGCCCGACAATTGAACTCTAGATACTTTTTTAGTAATTTGTGGCAGTAGTTCTATGACTATACCCCACTATAACACTGTGTAATGTGAAATGACCACTGCACGAATCAACGAGTGTCGCTATTCAATGCACAAAGCCCCGGATGTGGGGCATTTCTTCAGAAATTTCGGCCCCACGGGGATAAGGGGGTGTGTGGTACCCCTCTTGAAATCTCATCATTCCAGAATAAAAAACCACAACAACAAAATGAGCTCTTTGAAGTATTTACATTTGTGAATATTTTCGAGAATAAATGGCGATAAATTCTTTTCGAATTTCGGCCAGATATATTTTCTCGCGAGTGGCCAATTTAGAAATGAGTAAAGTCAAGTAAATATATTTTGTGATTAAAAAAGCTGAAAACTTCAACTTTTAAACTTGATAAGTTTTTGGTGCTTTTAGTAACAGTTAGTATTTTTATTAATATTTTTACCCAACAATTACCACATCACAATAAAAGTATTACAATTCACATTTCTCATTTTTTTTTACTTATTTTTTCTTTCATTGAATTTTCAAAATTTCAGATTAATTTTTGTTTCTTTTAATTCGTTGTGGGAGCATTTCATTCTCGGCATAAAACGAAGTCCTCAAAAAATCCTTTGTTTTGGTACGTAAGAAAAGAGGAACAGGGAACCCATGCGTGACAAGCACTTGGCAACGAAAAGAGCGTTGAAAACAAACCTGTTCCGATTATCGCCGCTAATTCCAATCTACAAATGGCCTACTTTTCAGCTTAATAATGTCTTTTAAACCAAGGAGCAAGACTACTTTTGGAATTCCACCGAAAACTCAGGCTTCAGAAGTTATTTTAGACACTCGTAGCTTTGTTCGGCAAGCACCRACTGGGCCTCGAGACAAACCGTGTAACACAGCACAGCAAAGACTTTGGAKCGATATCACAAATTTAGATACCACAAACATCGAGAAAACAGATGATGAATACAACAGCAATATGTGGAAAAACTTCAAGTTTGTTAGACCAAAGGCAAGTGCTGGTAGCTTTGCTCATACGAGAGGCATCTCAACTCCAAAAAGGCACAAAGTTTTGCCCATGTACAAGAAGCCGAACGTCGACGAGGACCCTCGCGTTCGCAACATGATTGCAGACACATATCCACTAAAATTACCTAAACCTTCCAAAATTGGTGGCAGTACGTACTCTAAATTCCTTAACGAGGCTAATTTACGTGAGCAAAAGCGACAAAGRATCGGTCTTCAACTCGCAAAAACTCAAGGGTTGCAAGACCGTGTTTTGAAGATTCGAAGTGAATGTAGGGCACCGCCGGTGAACTTAGAAGGAGAAATCCTCCCTCCCCCGGAATTCAAGAARTATCAGCACAAGGTTGTAGACTATATAGARGATGAAACATTGCTAGAGCCGAAGCCTTTGAGCTATGTGGCGCAAACGTCTAGACCGTATACCGGGTCCCCCTCCGGTTCCCGAGCTTCATCGCCTTGGAAACATGGTGTTATGGGGAATTCAAATGCAGAATATAGATGGATTGATAGACTATAGATCAAAATTTCAAATAAATTGGAAGATTAAAAGATGCTATGAGAAAATTACAATGATAAGGGTGATCAAATGTAAGTAAAAAGAATGGCAACTGTGTGAAATAGGAGTAAAGTGAAATGGGAAAWATAACGAGATATGGAAGCAATATTTTTTTGGCAAAAGGAACAAAACATGAAAGTTAAAGAAATAAGTTAAAAGGTAACGTACAATAAAATATAACAAAATGCAGAAAAATGGACAAAAAAGAAAAKAAAGAAAAGAAAAAACAAACAAGACTTGTTTTTAATCTATCACCATTTCTTTACTAAATATGAATTGAACATGTATATTTTATAAAAGGAGATATATATTTTTTACGTAAACAACAGTAGAGTGGTTTTCAAAAAGCCGTTAAATACTTTTTTTAGCTTATTTAGAAATATAAACATACTCTAATTCTTTTATTAATCTGACTATCATACTGACCTATACCATTTAGTAGATTGGTTTTCATAAGCTCATAAAAGAAATAACATTACAAAAAGCATTTGACAATAAAATTCRTGTCAAAAGAACATAAATAAAATGATACATTTGAGTGTATTTTCTTTATGAAAACCTGTCCTTTTTTACATTTTCTACAACTCTATGTTATAGTATAAATTCTATCTATCCTAGAGGCAACTGCTGATCACGTTAAGTGGTTGCCTAAATGAGATGGGGGCTTGAGTGCTTTTCCTTGCTTGTGAATAAATAGCCATTAGCTATCATGTAACAGTTACATTGTCACTGCCATTCTAGTGATCACAGTAAGAAGTTTTGATGCTTTCCTGCTAGCAGAATCTCTCGTTGTACTTGCTGACAAGCAATACTCCAGTTTCGAGATCTTATTTGTGCAGTCTTAACTTTGAAAGCATGTAATATATTCTTTTATTCAGTAGAGAATCCTATGGTAATGCAAACATGTCTACAAAGAAGACAATACAAATTCATGCTTGATTAAAGCTAAGCTTGTACAAAAGAGAATTTGAACCTGGAGTATTTATGACTTGTCGGGAACTACTTAATAGAGAGACTTTGCAGTTAGGGATTTTCATGTAAAAAAGACTTTGTTGTGTCCCAACTAATTTGTTCTTGATTTGTAGAAATACTTTTTTGGGTTCATATTCCAAGATGTCTGTTGATAGCGTCAATAATATCTGCCTTCTTTGTCCCCACTGTTATCCCCGCTTGCTTTGCAAAATCCTTCAGTATTGGTACTGTTAATTTTGCGAGCTGTAATAAGAAAAGTTGCATGTAATGCATACATATTCGGGCTAATGAACAAGCAATTAAAATGAGTAAGGATGAAATGTAAGTTACAGTAATTATAATGCACTAAAAGGTCATGGTCAACATGAAGCATCCCTTTCATCGCCAAGCTTTCGCTTAATAATATTAATTAATATTAATATTAATTAATATTAATTAATAATCCTCCCTCAGTAAAAATCAACATGTGAGGAGTGTTGTGTGCTAAAATAATTAATGTAGAGGTAGTGAGTGTGAGTGTGAGGGCCACAAGTTCATCAGTTCTTTACTGTCACGTGTTACCCTCGTAAAATAAAGTCGATTTATTTATTTATTTATTTATTTATCAAAAACTCTTTATCATCCCTTTAATATGTTCACAAATATATATGAAATGGAGATATTGTAAGATCAACCCTTAAAATAGAGGGATGGAAACCAATTGGAAATGATCTATTGGAAGTCACTTCATTTTCCATAAATGAAAAAAGAAGAAAGAAAAAAACTAAACAGAACCACTTTGAATGCTGTTAGACCATGGCCCTTTGAATTAATTCCCATTCTCCCTTTACTTTGGGTCTTAACTTAATTTATGATATATACTTTCTGTTGTCATTAAAGGGACACTGTCAATGGATGACATGCGCGAGTAAACTTGAAAACACTAGGCTAGTGTTTTCAAGTTTATGACTCCAAGTTGGCGCGACATAAATYAGATCGTAAACGTAAACAGATCTAGAATATTCCAAAGTGTGTCAAAAGCACCACAAAATGATTTACCTCGAAGGTTATACTTTCAAAGTCCGTTAGAGGTGAGACTGTTACTGCGCATGTCATCCATTGACAGTGTCCCTTTAACAGACCAACTACCAGAAAGCCTTGTGCATTTTCTTTGTTAATTCAGATTTTTATTCCTTTGGAGATTAGTATAACAGTTGGGACATATAGTATTACAAGAGAAAGTAAAGCATTCTGGTTGCATATGGTGCTATGATGCAAATTGTTGTTCACAACTCACCCTTCCTTTCGCTGCTTCTTCCTTGACATCTACATTCTCTGTCTTCACTCTTTTGGCTGCAGCCCCATCACCTCCAGCCTTAATGAAACACAGAATTATTGTCACCTTAMTGTTTTCTTATAAAGTTTTTCTTGGTTTTYATTGACTTTAAGTGACTTTCTTGTRCAGAATATTGAGCTGTTTTGCCATAAAACCATGAAGTCTTTTTTGTTTTGAGAGGGTAGCACGTAATAGTCCTTAGACTAATAAACTTGTGGCCCTCTATATATTCACTCATACTCACTACCTCAACATTCACTATTTTACTACACGACACTCCTCACAGCTAGTTTTTGACTGAGGGAGGAAAACCAGCAGACCTGGAGAAAAACCCTCTGAGCAAGGAAGAGAACCAGCCTACAAACTCAAATCACATATTATAGTTCCGGACCAGGAATCGAACCAGGACCACAGCGGTGATAGACGGCATTTTAACCGCTCGGGCATCCTTGCTCCCCATAAGTAACTCTTAACTTAGCAAAAAAAATCATTTTGTAAATGGTGTATCTACTTTACCTTTCTCTTAGATGCTGCTGGCTTAGCAGAGGGGTTATAACCCTCAGGATAAACCATTTCTTTGAATTCATCCATCAATGAACCAGCTCTTCTGTCTAGTTTGTCATTATTTGGTTCTGTTGATAAAGAGTTTGGGAATGAGGCATAACCTGGTGCAACAACACTTACTGATTTTTAGGCTTTAATACTCCATTTGAAACAAGAAAAACAAATGAATGATAAACAGGTTTGTTGT